CCAAAACAAGGTCGTTTCAGCCCTTGCATTTCGTACATGCAATACGCAGCAATACGCAGCAATACGCATCGTGTTCATGTATAAATCAGTCAAGTCACCTTTTGATATCTGCAGGCAACCTACAGAACTTATTATGTACTTTCAAAGCTGAGGATACTCTCAGCTATTGTTAGGGGTAAACGCTAAATTATGCTTGGAAGGATACTTTATCAACTCACTGTCTTGACAACATTTGCTGGACCACTCACATAGTTGTATCTATTGTGTGTCCGTCTATAGTACGTCGTGATCATGGTGTAGCGAGTAGAAACGATAGCTTGACTGCATACTTTTACACGCCTCCCAAAGTAGGTATTGATCTTAGCACAATGAAACCTACGCTTCGTCGGCTTATTTTATTAGAACTTTTCCCCTACACCCCTATAGACCAACATGCCTAAAATCATTATAACTGGATTATGATTCCGGGTAATTTACTTGTCAGTTGACAACACGACCATCGGTAACACCAGACGTACTTTGAATGAAGCGCACTTGACTGTGATAGGTGCAGCTATCGTAGACGCGTGAAGAATCGACCAGCGTTCTGCGCTATATACAAAAAGGAATGTGATGCTCTCAAAATTATGATAATAGGTTAGCTTTTTCTTTTATTGCCTCACTTTACTGTACACACGCAAACTGTCATCCTCTATATCGGCTTCTCCTGAAGGTGGGCAGCTCGCACGTCAATATGGGTATTCACGTGCGTACACCGCCAATGCCTCTAATACAGCATGGAAGTGCTAACGATAATAGCAACAACAACAAAACCCCTTGCGCGCAATTTCGTAAATTTGGAGTTCCAAGCTAACTGTTAACAGGATGAAAATCGTATCTAAATCGTTACATATTAGCGGACACATATAGCTCTCGGAACCAACCAACCATTCAATATATATAACATATGGATCTATACAACATCTAAACGTACGAATGATGCGTAAGCAGAACGTGTTCTATATTCGTGCACAGATCCATAAAATCCAAGAGCAAAATATAATGGCACTGTCACAAACAACGATAACGTGCTGCATACGTTCACGCCCGTTTTTATATCTCAAGTGCAGATGTAGGTCACAATGCATCGCGGGTGCAGTATCAATGGAGGAGCAAAATTGTGATTTATTTATCGGTAGGGCGTCACAGAAGTTATACTTAGCCGTTTAAATATGGGATAGTATCAACGGAGACTTCCTTGCGAACAAGAATATTGTGATCGCGATCGACATGTCCATGCCTGTGTACATCTTTCTTATCTTAACGGAACAGAGATAATAAGTGGAAATGTTGTGGGAGATTCTTAAGAGGGATTCGTATGTTGCTAGTGGTACTTTATGCCTTCGTCGGTCACCACGTAGATGAGTAACTAGCGACTGTAAAGCATTTACAGAATAAGCTACTAGAAGGAAGAAAATAAACTGTATACTTTAAAGGACCTAAAAATGACAGAAGGAAAAATTGTATAACGCATCCAGAGGGCTGTCGGAGCGTTCAACCTCTATGACTATGCTATTAAACAGTGGCCCATGAAGAAGCCGAACAACATTATTTATTTATTTTGGATTCACAAGCTTATTATTTGTAATGATTCGGATAATATTATATTGTATGCTGACATCGTTAAATTCGACAAACACGTCAAAAAAGGTATATAGACAATATTTCGACGTAGTTCAGTAGCAGGTCAACTGCTTCCATATATAGACGAGCACAAGTTCCCCCAATAAGTGTATCAAATGAGGTATAAAAAATATCTCAACGTAGTGCAGTAACAAATGAGAACAAATTCCTTCATGAAGTGTATGTATACGTGCTATATAAGACGGTCTATATGCGCCTACCTGTTCAATACATGTTTTCGAGAGCCCACAGGGATATGACTTATGGACTACTTAAGTATATGTATAAAGATCTTCATACAGTATATGAAATCTTACAGTTACAGTTCTACATGCGACGAACCTCAAAAATTTAAAAACTACACGAAAAAAAGTTTATCAAATAGTTTATAGGTCTTTTGTCAAACTGCTTATAACCCAGGCCACTGCCTATTATAATGTAAAGAGAGTTTACTTGGCATACTACCACGCAAGTGGACCTGGCTTGAACAATCCTGGGATCAATTCTGCTTTGAATTGTGGGCCCCAATAGAGTGTGATGCCTACAGTTCATTACTAACGGTCTTAAAGTGAAATCGGATAAGTACTTTAAAGAAACTGTAGCTGATATACTTGAACCTCGCCGCACCACTAAATTTGAGCGCGATAAGTTTCCGATTGACTTCTAAGATATGAATGGTTTGCATCTGCGCAAGTTTTGTACTACGCTTTTTCTATCTATACCTGGTACATACTATTCGCTGAGCTGGCATACCTGCACTATGGGTATACTTAACTGCGACCCGCATAGCAACGATCACACTCAAAGCTATATACGAAGACCCAAAGGAATTGATAGCTTGTAGCTCAAGAAACAAAAGATTTACATGAACGGATTGAAGTAAAACAGCACTTTGCATGCATATGCAATCAAATATCGTGAAAGTACATTTTTGATTAAGATTGTGTTATGGACTATTTTGATCGCGATGAAGACTATATCTCCAGTCGCAAGGATAAGCAACAGAAAAGACGTTCAGTGGTATAAAAAAATGATTGATCGATACCAGAAGGTACAAACAAGGAGACCATGGTGTATGTACGGGCAGCTGTAGGTCATTTCGTGAACATGCCCCACAGATCTGTTAATGCGCTTAATAGCTTGTCAAACTGAAAGCATTGGTAACAATAAAAGACAGATCGACGGTGAAGTAGAAGTAGTAGTCTGCTTCCTTTCGATCTCATTCCTAAAAGGTATAAGCCTTATCACTACAGAATGCATTTACATTCGGGTAGCCATGGAGCGTATGATAGAGATGGTAAGCAGCGCAAAGAACTACCGACGGGGATAATACGTAGAGTGATCACGGAATTTTAGCGAGTATTATCGGCAGCTTATCAGCTATTGACGTAGTGGGATTACTTATGAACGAAGCTCCAGATTCCGATATATCAGTCATTCGTAGTAGGTATGACCCTGGATTGATTCACAGGTACGGCGTTTAGAATATAATACTGCCCGAATTGAAATAGAAAATGAACCACGTAAACGTTATCTTGAGTATAGAGCTGTAAAAGTATATTGTGAATAGTTGTAGGGAGCTTAATAAACACATGTGAAAAATTATACCAATTTATATATTTACATTACTTCACATCCTGGACATTGTCGTTTCACTTCTATTAGGTGAAACAATAACATTTCCTTCGGGTACATTATGTTTTCTTTTTCTCTTTCCTCTTTCAGTCTGCGGCAATCACCAATCGTGAATCGGCGGTTTGAGGTTTACAAGACCTCTACTAAATCCAGATTCATGATCATGCTTTCAACCTCTGACAGAGTCAGTTGGCCACCATCCCAGGCGTGTAGTTTTGAAGTTGTTCATTGTGTAATTTCATCGGGTTCCTATAGTAGCAGCACATGTTAAACGTATTTTATAAAAGCATGAATGCTTAAACGCAATACGGTTATGAAACCTGGTATACGTTGCAACGCAATTGTAGATATTTATAACTGTATAATAATCAAATAATCTAAATTTAGATATATTGAAGTTATATAAAACAAACAAACAAACAATCTATTTTGGGATATTTGGAAATATAGTTGTACACAACAGAGGTCGGAGACTTTGCTAATATTGACATGATGGCTTTTTTATAATGATATGTTTTCCATCAGAATATTAGGATATAATAGTTGGGAGAGCCTCAGGTGAAATTGACACTTGATGACACTCGTTATATTACCGAATACTCTCACATCGAGATAGCCCACTGAGAAATGGGGCATGAAAATGATTCGCCCTAGCCAGCCAACTAGATGTGCCCGTTTATGCCTTCAATGGGATGGAGAGCTAGGTTCCATGTGATGGAGTATAGGTGCAGACATTTAACTGCACCAACAAGGTGTTTTATATTTTTATTTTTATTTCTAAAGTTGGACTTGGAGTTGTTTTTTAGTAATTGCGACTGGAGGATAGTTTCAAAGCATGAAACATAAAAGAGAATGAAATATCGTGCATCTAATGAAATGATTCTGATATTAGTTACTGACACCAAATAAATCTAGTCCGAAGTAGTGAGTGATTAGAGCGGAGCATATAGACAATAGTCTCAGTCTAAAATCCCCTAATATTTAGCTCATTACCTAGGGCTGAAGCTAAACTAATATCTTTTACGTTAACTTATTAACATCTAAAGTCAGCCTGGTTAGTCTGACTTTTACAATTGTATCGCTCGATCTGGAGCCTATATACTGACATTTGCTGATCACCTATCTTAGTCTCGTGATCAAAAGCAACCTGGACGTTTTGTTTTTGGTTTAGTTTCCACCAACACCACAGTGTCGGTGTGTGGGGTCCATAAGCCATCAGCACGGCCTCTTTCGATTTCCAAAATGATATTTTCGCCCGTAAGTTGCTGACCAACTACAAAGTCTTCGTAACGCATACGATGATATAGTGAATTGGCGCGTGTGCCTTCATTGAAGTTAAAGTCCGTATCAATTTCATGATTCAGGCACGGCATCTTGGAGGTGTCGTTCTTTGTTAATATATGATTTGATTTGATATGATATGATATGATATGATTTGATATGATATAATATGATATGATATGATATGATATGATATGATATGATATGATATGATATGATTTGATTTGATTTGATATGATATAATATGATATGATATGATATGATATGATATGATATGGTTTGATATGATATGATATGATATGATATGATATGATATGATATGGTACGA